TTCAGCTGGAAGAGGCTTCCTGCTTGCAGGCTTACATCCTAATGGGGATTTCAGCCACCCAGATATCTGCTGGGAAAATAACACAGTGGGCTGCAAGCACTCCAGGAGATTCTTGGGGTCCATTGACAACAACTTTCTGGTTCAAGTATTGGACAGACCCTTAGGGATAAAGGAACTGAAAGGGCTGACAGCACTTTAAGGATCCATTTCTGAGAGTACAAGAGCTCTCCGTCCCCCAGAATAAGAAGTCAGGCAGATGAGGCAGGAGACCAGCATGATTAGGCAAGGACCTTCTGGTCAGGCTGAGAAAAGAAAATGATAAGTATAAGCAGTGGAAGCAGATATGGATTGCCTGTGAAGAATGGGATGCTGTCTGGATATGCAGGGGTGTCAGGAAAACCAAGGCAAAGATGGAATTGAGCTTGAGAAGGGATGTGAAAAACAAGAAGGGATTCTTTAGATATATTAAGCAGAAGACAAAGAAGAGTGCTTGCTAATGACACCAACCTAAGTGGCAAGGTTGACACAATAGAGGGGAGGGATGCCATCCAAAGGGACCTGGACACACTTGACAAGTGGGCATAAGAAGCAATGAAGCTCAACAAGGCCAAGTGCGAGGTGTTACACTGGGTCAAGGCAATCCCAGAGATGAGTACAGACTGGGAGAATAACTTTGAAAGCAACCCAGTGAAGAAGGACTTGGGGGTTTTGGTGGATGTAAAGGTGGATATAAGCCAGCAGTGTGCATTTGCAGCCAAGAAGGCCAACAGTATCCTGGGCTGTATCAAAAGAAGTGTGGCCAGTGGCGCAAGGGAGGTGATGGTCCTCCTATGCTTTGCCCCCATGAGCATGCAGCTGAAGTACTGTGTTCAAGCCTGGGGCCCCCAGTGCAGGAAGGATATGGAGCTGTTGCAGCAGGTCCAGAGGAGGGCCATAACAGTGATCAAAGGGAAGAAAGGTTGAGACAATTGGGGTTGTTTAGCTTGGAGGCTCTGAGAAGACCTCTCTGGCCTTGTACTCAAGGGGGCTTGCAAGCAGGAGGGAGATTTTTTATTAGGTCTGATAGTGACAGAACGGGGGGAATAGCTTCAAACTAGAGACAGTAAATTTTGATTAGATGCTAGGAACAAATTCTGTGCTCAGAGGGTGGTGAGACTCTGGAACAGATAGCCCAAAGAGGTTGTGAATGTCCCATCTCTGGAGGCATTCAAAAGCAGGGCAGCCTGACCCAGTGGTTGGCAATACTGCCTGCGGCAAGGAGATTGAAATTAAATGATCTTAAAGGTCCCCTCGTATCTAAGCTATTCTGTGATTCTGTATGATTCTGTGAGATAATTCTCACTGGATCTGTAGGACGTCGTATTCTACAATACCCCCCTTATTTTTTCCAATAGGCATTAGAGCTTTCTTTTTCTAGCTATGGGCAGATAAGTAGCCACAGCTTGAGGATCAACATCATGTTCCCAGATTTTTTTTATTTCTTTGTTGATACTATCCTATTGCATGGGGATCCTACTGCTAGTTAATTTTAGCATCCTTAAAGAAGATTGCTGTTCATGTATTTAACTCACTTGTGTCATTATGAATTGTAGGAGTGGTTGATTTCAGTCATCCCTGGAAATATCTTCTGTTAGTTCCCACAAACAACAACTAGCATTTCCCAGTTTATGGTGTCTGTGCAGCTGTTTTTTTGTAAATGTGGAGACAAATACGTGAGCCACGGGTGACCTGGGTTTAGAAGCTCTTTAGTTTCATGATTGGCTCTTCTTCATGTTCAATTTAGATTGAGCTTTCAACAACCTGGTCTAGTGAACTGTCTCCTTTTTCATGTCAAGGGGATTGAAACTAAGTGGTCTTTAAGGTCTCTTCCAACACAAACCATTCTGTGATTCTTTGAAATTCTCCCATAGTAACTCAGTGAAAGTGTTATCCTATCATCACAGCTATATTTGGATTTTTAGCTTGAGATGTCTTCATGCAAATAGGCATGAGGAAGGAAACTTGTTGCAAGTAAAAAGTACAGATGGATACCTGAAAAATGTCTTTATTGTATTTCTACTCTTTTGTTATTGTTCTTTTCTCCCCAAAGAATTGGACTGCTTACTAAGTTCAGTGACTCAGTGTCTCTATAGAGCCAGCCTTGATGGCTGCAAAAAACAGTTAAAAATGTTTTAGTAGTCCTCTGATGGCAGTCAGTAAAGTACTAGTTTTTCATTAGCTTTTCCCTTATCACATTTGAAATTTTTAGCTACATCCTCATACTTGAATCAGAACTCTGCAGAGATTATTCCTCATATATTTGCTCAAAACATATTGGCCTTAAGTGTGACTGCATAAGAGTTTAAAACATCTCCCTCTCCTACTTTGTTCTTCAACTGATATTCATCTGATTTGTTTGCAGAGCTATGATAACAAAAAAATAGCTCAACAAAAAGAAAAGTAATTAGCTTTAGTTCCTTGAACAGACTCATTCCAGGTTCAGGGGAGTACTGGAAACGGTACTACAGAGAAGGTATGGGTATCTGGAGCTTGCTGGGGAGCAATGTTAGAATTAATTGAAGTTAACATAGAAGTATATCATATAAACTGACTTAATTGCTCAGCATCACCAAAAAAAGACCAGAATGAAACTACCCATGTACAAAAGTGGGTTTTTTTTTTTTTTTTTTGAGCATTGAGAGATAGCATTTACAAATAGGTTGAGGTTAAGGTTGACCCTTCTATATACAGAAATCTGTTTTGAAGGTGGATGTCCTTTAAGCCATGCTGACCCCCCCTTTCCTGTTTTACAATTTTACAGTTTACAACTCTGCCTGTTAAAATTTTATTATCTGTCCTGGCTGATATATCATGCCATATCCAGTGTTCTGGTTATTTTCCTCCATTCTAAGCCATGTAAGTCATAAGCTAATATTACAGTGCATTTTATGTGTAAACCTTCAGACTGGTGTAACAAGAATGATTGCCTGTCCCTTGCTTGAAATGTGTAAAATCCCATCAGTTTCCCAATCTCAGTCCTGTTGTGCTACAAGAATGAAACAATCACCTAAGACAGCCTCTTGAATGTTCAACAGTGTCCAGTGATGAGTGGCAGCTCCTTAACTCCCATGTAAATTGTCCCCATGGGGCAAATTGAAGAGATTAACTTCATACAGTAATAATGAGGGTTTTTTTTTACTGTTTCTTCATTTTTAATTTCTGCTATGTAAGAATAATAGTCAAACATACTTGCTTTCCTTTATTAATGCAGTTCACAGCATGCTGGTGTAGGCAGTTGTAAGGGTTGAGGGAAGAACCTTTTTGTAAATAACTGCCAAAGTTTGCTTGTGTTTGATATGATATTGGTGGATGAAAAATTGCTTCCAGTCTCCTTGGCTCCTTGGTCCTAATTTCCCCCAGGGAATCTCCCATGCTTAGCTTCATGTCTGTCCTGAAACTTGGATCTGAATGTCCTTGTCCACATAATGAGTTGTTCATCAGGCACTGTAAAACATCTAGCTACCAAGTAGCTCAAGTGTTAGTTACAGTTCCTGGCCACTATCCTAGCTCAAAGCTTCCATAAGCATTCCCCAGTGCTTAGGACAGGAATGCAATGCAGAACAGTTAAATTGTGTCCTGCAGCCTCTGTCATGGTAAACACAGCACCATGTATGCCCCTCTTGCTATTTCATTTCCTGTTGTTTTCGTCCCCAGCTGTTCTGAAGAGATTTGGCTCAGGAAGTCTGTCGTGTTGTTCCTTAGAGAACCTCTAATGTAAACATTCTGGTGCACATTATGGAGCAGATATATTAGTGCATAAAACATAAGCTGAAATCATGTGTATAAAATATATTGCTTGCACTGAAACTGTCTTCCACTTTGCCTAAAATATTCTGCTGAAATTAAAAATACATAGAGAAAACTGTGTTAATCTTACAGTCAAGCAAAGACTCCATTTTTTTTTTTTTCTTTTTAGTTAATTGGTGAATTCCCTGGATAAGATACATGACTCAGTAAACCATGACACGTTGCCATGCAATGAAGATTACAGCTGCACGGAAGTGCAGTTTATTCAGAAGTCTAGTTCAGGCTAAATATCCAATTTGACTGGAGAGATACCAAAATAATGCTGATTTACAAGTATGCTTTCTGCTAGAAAACTATTAACTGATGTAATCTTAAGTAGATCTCTAAAACATAAAAGTAACCTGACCCTGTTTCAGCTGACCAGAAGTCAACAGGAATAAATGTGGTTAACCAACCTATCAGAACAACATATTTTTAAACTTCTTAATGGGCATATCTGAAGATTGATTTTATTGTATTTTTCTTCAGAAAAACAAAATGAGATAGCATTCTATCCTGAAGATTTTTGTTTGGTCTTGTAATTTGTCACCAAATGCTCTCATATTGAAAGACCTGTTTTCTTCTGTTTGAAGGTGTAATTCATATGTTTTGTGTAGACAAAGCGCTTTTCAAAACCTTTAATTTTTAAAAGGGCCCAGCACTAGTAAAGCTTAATCTTTTGCATGTTCTTGGGTTTTTGGGCAGTCACTTGTTTTCTTTTAATATATGGTTATTTATGTCTGAGAACTATATCCTCTGGTTCTGTCAGCTCAAACAGAAAATGGGCCTGATTTATCACGAAGAATATATTGGGTGTAGAAGTAGTCTGTTGAGTTAACTGTAACATCACAGACAAGCAAAACTGTGTCTTTTGAGAGAATCAGATGACAGAAGAGCTGAAATTAAATGACATCATTCAGTTCTGAATTTGATTCTGTTAACTGTAGTTTGTGCAAAGTGAAATACAATTCTGAAACTTTTCTCTAAGCTCTAAATCCTTAAGCAAGATTTCTTTGTAAGGGTTCCTGAAGGTCTGAGTTACATTAATGATGTGTATAGGAGAAGAACTTATCCTTCAGAAACATCTTAATTTTGTCTTCAGTGGTTGTTTAAAACAGTAAGTGCTTCAATAATGTATTTAAATACACACTTAATATCCAAGGGTATTTCTTTAGAGGTGTTTCTGGAAGACTACTGCTGGATTATTTTCATCCTCTATCATGCAAGAAATAGTGAAATCATTCCCAAGTAAAATGGCCAGTGATTGTCATGGAGGTAAGTAAGGAAGAGAAGAAGGTAGTTGTATTCAGCAATTTGATTTACACTGTAGCTTAGAGCCATTCATACAGTGTGTTAAGCAGTTAAGTACAGGAAGATAATAGCAAATAGAATAAAAGGTCATTTTTAAGCAGTGGAGAATGCATCACTGATTCTGAAAACTACTCAGGCTTCAGAAAGGATGACCAACATAGATGCTGTAAGTTTGAAGGCTAAGTTGAGATCTCAAGAAGGTTGCCTCCACAACAAGGTAGTTTTTACACCATTACAAATAAATTCTTATGTATGTGTTAGGCTCCTATGGTTTATGAATGCAGAAGAAATCAGAGGCTCTATGTTATTCGTGAGAGCTGAAATCAGTGCCTTAGAGTGGAAAGAATCAGGGGCTCAGCCAGTTTGTTCAAAAAGAGCAGAAGCTTTGATTTTTAAATAAATGTGTAAAGAGAAAAAAAGATATTTAAAGCCTTGTAATGTGGGGAGAAAGTTGCAGGAACTGATCACTAGAAGCTAAAACAGAAGTAACAATTTGCTTCTCTTTTTCAGCATGACTGTCCTTCCAGATAGGTTATTAAGGATAATCTTTAAGTAAGGATATTATGTTAACTATCCAACTATCCATAGGGAGAAGTAATGCATGAGCTAACAATGGACAAGACGTATTCTTTGTGTCAATTGACAGAGGAGAAGCCACAACACTTAACTCCTGATCTGGAGTCTTAAGAGGATTTCTGAGTTCAGTGAAAGGTGTCTGAGAACAGAGTCTGGTAAGATCACACTGTTATTTCTATGTTTTTTTCTGGATGACACTTATTATCACAAATTGCTCAGTTAAATGAATTAAATGTGCAGAGGTACTGGATGTTCCAATTTTATTCTTTGGTCCTTAATCTCTTTGTCTGTGAATTACTTGGGAATTAAGTGATAAGAAGTAAGGTATGTGGAGCACGGTGATAGAAGTCGGCAACAAGCATCCCATTCTACATTTAGAAACCTAAACTGTGGGCAAGTTACCAATGTCATAAAATTCCCATTAGTCTAGGGTTATAAAATGTATCTGTATCATATTATTATCAAAATTGTATGTAATTTTTGAATTAATTTCAGTTTTAAATACTCCATGAAAAGTGATGTATTTAAACCCCCAGTGTTTTAAATTAAGTAATGTATAATTGACCAGTAGTTTAATTAATGGAATAAACAGCATGTGTGTTAGGAAATATCTACCAGATTTTGTGTTTAATGAAACAAACCCAGAACTGAAAGGAAATTGTTCAGAGGAAAAAGCTGAAAAACATTTCAGACTTTGTTAAGAAGCAGATTTAGGGTTGAATCCACTTAGAGTATTTGCAAGTCCATTTTAATTAATATAATGAAATACCCCGGTGGCTGTGGAATAAATCTGCTATTTTAAAGCTGCTATTTAATCTACTATATTTTTTTTCTTACTGAAAGAGATAGTGCTACATGTATGTATGTATGGGATTTCTTTTCAAGTATTTTCACTCCGTTTATGGAATGAATCTGTAAAGCGAACCCTTGACGGGCATTTGAAAATAAGTATTTCTTCAGAAACTAGTGACACCAGGAAAAAAAAGAAAGAATTCCAGTTATCTGTTGAAAATAATTTGTTCTCAAAAAGGTTCTTTGTATTTGTTTGGCATTTTCATTTTGAAGTGAATGTGTATAACTCTGTGCTTTTTTGTGACAATGTTATTCCCTGAGTAGAAGGAAAATATTCCAGTTTTTAACTTAAAACTGTACATGTGAGAAATTAGGATATTTAAGTAAAAAAAGAAAAAAAAGAAAAAACCTTTGCTTTTATAATTGAAGAGTATTTTGAAAGTAGCTGAAAGGATGAACTGACAAACAACTGTGCTAAAACCAGTCTTTGTAAAACAATGCCAGAAAACAATTTTAAATAACAATTTCATAGCCACAGAAACCATGGCATTGTGGACACAGTGACAGAAATCCAGCCTATGCTAATACAAAACACACTGCATATGGATCTGAGAACAGTGACCCAAATTACTAACACACAGCAACACAAAGAGACAGATTTCAACATTATTCTTCATTTCATAAACTTGTGCAGATTTAAAGTAGATGTTTAACTTTTCTCCAGTATTGATTTGTACCATTATAAATTGCCCAGAATTTTTGTGTTTTCAAGGTTTCACACAATATTTCTTTTTACAAGTGCTTTTTAGAGTTCTCGATTCTTCCACTTAAGCTGCAGGATGGTGAATCTCTCTCAGTAGTTTTGTAGAAATGGCAGAAGAAAGCAGAGCATGTAATTATAAAGTCTACTAGTCTGGGATATTTTCAGATGGCTTAAGATTGTTGTGTATATAGAAGGGATGGGAGAAGGAGATGTAGACTGGTTAAAGTCATTTGAAAAATAGGACGAACTTCAAGACAAATCTTTAATGAAACAGTAATTATTTACAGAAGTCAAGGTAGAGTAGAATGAAATGTTCAAGTAGTCTTCAGTGATCTAGCTAGAAATGCAGTATATCTCATCCAACTTCAGTAAAGCATATTTTTTCTTGACATAGGAAACTATTGCTAGGATTTAGTAAAGAATTTATAAGGCTTTACCTCAATAAATACTGTCACTATTGATCCTGGAAACCATTTTCCAGCACCTGAAGGAGAAAAAAATCAGCACACTGACAGGTAGTCAGCATGAATGCATCAATGGAATGCCAACCTTCAGTAGCCTGATGCGCTTTCTATAATGAAATGAACAGCATGATGCATGAAGGGAAAGCAGTGGATAATGTTGTCCTGGACTTCAGTAAGCACTTCTGACAGTGTCACCTGTAAGATCCTCGTAGAGTAGTTGCTGAAGTATGGAGGAGACAGCTATGTGGGTTGAAAACTGGCTGAATGAGTGGGCTCAGAGAGTAGTAGTAAGAGGTACAAAGTCTAGCTGGAGGCTAGTAGTGAGTAGCATACTTCAGAGGTTAGTTCTGGGTCCAGTTCTGTTTAACATCTTCATTAATGATCTGGACAATGAGGCAGAGTGCACCTTTAGTAAATTCACAGATGATCCTAACCTGACAGAGTGGCTTATTCAGCAGAGGCTCTTCTATTGTCAAGAGGTACGTCAACAGGTTGGAGACGTGGATTGACAAAAAATCTCATAAAGTTCAAGGAGAAGAATTACGGAGAACTACAACTGGAATCAAACAAGTCCAGGCATCAGCAGCTACTAGGAACCACCTGGCTGGAAGGCAGCTTTGTAGAAGAAGACCTAGCAGTCTCGGTCCAAATTGAACATGAGTCAGCAGTGTGTCCAGCAAAAGGACCACCAAGATGATGAAAGCCTGGAGCACTTCTCTTAGTAGAAGAGGATGAGAGAGCTGGGACTGTTCAGCCTGGAGAAGAAAAGGGTCAGGGGGAGGAATCTCGTCAGTATTGATCAAGACCTGAACAGAGAGTGCTGAGAGGATGGAGCCACACTGTTCTCAGTTTTGCCCCATGCCTGGACAAGAGGAGCACTGGAACACTGGGGGTTCCATCTGAACACCAGTAAGTATTGCTGAAATGTGTAGATGACTGAGGACTGGCACAGGTTGCCCAAAGAGGTTGTGGTATCTTCTCACTGGAGATCTTCAAAAGCCACCTGGACATAGCATTGATGTTCCTGCTTGAGCAGGGGTTGGACCAGATGGACTTGAAGTGCTGCCGAATTTGACCATTCTGTGATTCTGTAGTTCTCTAATGAAAGGGAACAAATTGCATGGAAGAGGGTTAGCTTTGGAATTCCTTTGGGTGAGTGGTGGATTTGAATCTAGGTAGAAATATGTTTATGACTTTTCTCAGTTATGCAAAGTGCATTGTTAATATCAAGGGAAGAACCAGGTGACCTTGAGAGCTACAGTAGTGTAAACAGGATGAACTTCAGTAATACAAAATGCAAATCTTAACATAATGGAATGCATGGACTGAGTGGACTAATAACAAAGATTACTGTTTCAGCAAGAAGCTCATTAGTTGGAAAAACAGGCAAATTACTTTGGCAAACACAGTCCTACGAGCTTTGGATTGTCTTAGCTGAGTTATTTCTAACAGAATTACAGTAGTATTAATGATGTTATGCAAAGTCCTAGTGGACACATCAAAATAATTCATCCATTCATATTCAAGAAGCATTAATTAAAATTGGAGCAGATACAATAAAAGCTGCTATTCTTATTCTAGTAGCCTTTCTTACAAGAAAATGCCTGAAAAAATGATTTGTCTAACCTAGCAAAATATCTGAGAAGAAATATATGGTTGCTGTCCAAGAAAGAATTGTATCTCTCTCTAACATATCACACAAAGAATGAAGAATGCCAAGGGGAGGCTAGAACACTACGGTCAGAGAGGAAAAGAAGATGCAAAGCTCTTTGAACAGTGTGAACCACAAGCACTGAAGGGCTGGATCACCTCCCAGTATAAACAGTGAGCACTAAAGAAGTAGCTGATTTCAAATGTATCTTCATTGGCTCATTAACAGAATTATGCAGTATGTTTATTTATAATAGTAAGCAGCCTGACTGAATCAGGTGGTTTCTTTCAGCCTTTACTTCTAATTGCTGCCTTTGTGAGGGTAGATCTGCAGAGAGTTTTGGAGAATTACCCTGGTTGATCACTGGTATGTTACAGATCTACCTTAACTGGAAAACGATTTTGTGAAGACTGAACCATTATGTGAGTATCAGCTCTTTGGAATTGTATGGTTCAGGAATTATTTCAATTGCCTGCGGCACATATTTTGTTTGCAGGCCTAGGCAGTGGTCAGAGCTGGTTCATGTATGCATGAGTACATTTTTCTCACTTGTGAGCTTTTGCAATATAAGTGAAGAATGTGAAAGGTTCAATTATGCCTTTGTGAAGCTAAGTTTCTGCCTGTGATGGGAGGGAATTGCTTTATGGCACCTGGGAGGCTTAATTTTCCTTCAGCTCTGTGGATATGAAACTTGGTTAGCATCTGTAGTCTGTCTGGTCTGGCTGATAATCCACTGATTTTCATAACTATCCTGATTATGTTTGAGTGAAAGAAGCTTAAAAAAGTGACAGGAAAGGAAAAAGACTCTTCTTCAAAAGTCATTGTTATTTTTACTGGTGGTGACAGCTTCTGAGTTTATAAAGCTTCATATTGTTTACCTCTTGCTTAAATCAGTACAGGTTTCTAAACTGATAAGTGGTACAGCTGTTGTGAACTTGTTCTTTCTATGCTCTATTGCTTTTCTTCCATACATACAACCCCTGCTCAGGTTTTGGGGAGCTTTGCTTAGTGAACTTGCTTGTTTAACTGCCAAGCTACATAGAGAAAAGAAAAGGGAAGTGTTATATGTGTTTCTGTATCCCAGCTCTGTATGATGAAGATAAGCTTCTAACATTGTTCTGTTAGTTTGCTAATCTAGTTTTTATCAGGAATCCAGTGGTGTTCCTAACTTCATCCAACACACTGGTATTCTTCAATATGCATTTATTTACTGTAGCAATTACATAACACTTATGGTATTTCTGTGCTTTCCACAAACCTCTTGGACTCTTGGTGCAGTAATTTTCTTCAGTGAAGAAAACTGTACAAGCATTAATTATCAAAATGTAGCAAGATCCTATAGTGGGGAAGAGCGAAGGAGGTAGCTTGCCTGAGCTCTGCAGAGTGCAGCTCACTACTTTTTGTCATTGACAAGTGCAGGAAGGGTTGGGTTGAGTGAGATAAGCACTGCCAAAGCTTATTTAACTATGTAGAAAACTCAGACCA